AAGATTAAGATTAAGATTTACTTTATTGATGGGAGCGAGGAGCAGCCGGAGAGTCTGTGCCGTTTATTACAACAAGAGCCCCGGCTTCGAGGGGCTCTTGTTTTTACACTCTGTTAATCATCCTGAGCTGATGGTGGGGGAGGGGGTTTGGTGCCTTGCTCAAGGGCACCTCGGCAGTGCTCAGGAAGTAATCTGGCACCTCTCCAGCTACCAGACCAATTTCCAGATTTGGTCCGCACCGGGACTTAAACCGGCGACCCTCCGCTTCCCAACCCAAGTCCCTACAGACTGAGCTACTGCTGCCCTACTTGGAAGGGTTAATAGGATTTCTAGCAGTAGCAGACAGTATCAGCATCCACCTGAAATGAAACTCTTGAACCTTCAGTCAAACCAGAGAAGCAAAATAAAATTCATTTAATGAGGCCTCACAGATGCTGTATTATTTGTCCTCTGCAAAGATTCCCTCCCATCAGGTCAATTGTCTGATCTGATCCATGTCATAGGGGGAGAACTGGGGCTGATGGTTTGAAATTAAAAGCATGCAGCTTTGACACAGAAGACAGTTGTTCATCCCACCAACTTTCATTTTAGGATTGGTAAAACCAAACATTAGATATTTTCCTTCCAATGACAAAATCAGAAAACATTCATATGGGTTGTTTTTTTAGGCTAAAGTTAAAGACAACAAACAACATGGCACACGGAAATTGCATTAAAATAGTTTATATGTTAAACTTATCAAATTAAATTGTGAGGTTGTGTGTTGTTGCTTATTTTGGGGGGTTTTATGGCCTACGGATGTTTTTATTCTCAGGACCGAAAGTCAAGATTTGCCTTGGTGGACAATTTATTTGATCTTATCAGTACAAGTCCAAGTAGCGGTTGTTATATATTAAGCTTATACAGTAGGTATTAATTGATTCCAGCAGTTTAATCGCACAACAACCTTGTTTGGAGAATAACTTCCAGTTGAAATAGACTGCCTTGAGAGCGCAGCCGCAAACGAAAGGACACAAAAAATCAATAAAAAAAGGAAATCAAGTGCTAGAGAGACAGAGATTGAGGAAGAAAAGTGAAAGAATGAGAAAGAGATTGATGTGAAGCCTCTCCACACACTCCACTGCCCTCTAATTACTGAGCCCACACAGTGTTATTCATCACCTGCTCCACAGTGTGTGTATGTGTAATTTATAGACTTACTATATGTCTACATGCCCGTACTCAAAGAGAAGAGTGCATATAGGTGGTAGGTGCTCATGTGAAACACTGAAAATAAGAGACTTCGCGCATCTGAATATATATATTTTAGCCCTTGTACAAGCCAAGCATTCCTCAGTGCTTACGCAGTTTTCTCATTCTAAGTAGTATGTCTTTTTTGTTTGTGTTTAAGCCTGAGAATATTTTTGCCTAGAAGACACAAAGCCTGACATGAATTCTTCCATCTCTGTCTTTTTCTCTTAAGGAAAGTGATTGAAGGAGTTTTTCAGAGGAAGTCAGTGTTTTTCTGCACAGGAACTTGTCAGACCATTTTCTCTGTGTGTGTGAGACTAGAAATGTGTGTTTATGTGTGTGTGTGTGTGTGTATGACTGATTTGAACATCCCCCTGAGCGCAGACTATATATTTTAAAGCATACAGCCACACTCCTCACTTGGCGAGCGCAAGTAGAGATGAGCTGCAGTCCACATCTCTTGATCTCTTATAACCAATGAGAACGCACCTTCTGGGCACGCTCAGTGAACAGCGAGGGAAAACACACATGCAAAATCACTGGGAGAGTGAGAGATATAGTTTTAGTCTTCATCTGTGTTTGTTCAGGTTTTGGTGTAAGTTACATTAGCATTTACTATTTTTCTTCTTCTTCTGACAGGGTATAACACAAATCTCTAATCTCACACACACACACACACACACACACACACACACACACACACACACACACACACACAGAGACATAGACACACACAAACTGGAGTGAGGAGTGTGTCAGTGACATTTAGAGAGTGACAGAAGGTTGTAGAGGGATGAGGTAGATTTAGAGGCATGAAGCGAGAGAGTAACAGAGAAAATTCAATTATATAGACGCTATATCAGCAAAATGTGACCGAGGATGGAAAGAGTGTGTAAGACAGAGTTGGGGAGAAAAAGAAAGAAATTGCTCTTGGATAACCACTTTATCAGTATGGCACCTAACTGAGCATGGAAATAAAGAATTGAGCTGAGAAGGGAGTGTGCATGTCAGGCACAGAAAGAAAGTAAAGAGAGATAGACGATGAACAATAGAAATACAATAAAAAAGACAGAGTTTGAGAGAGACATGTGTCAGAGGCGTCAGAGACATGAATATAGATGTACTGTGGAGCCTGCAAAATGTGGAAAAACTGAATGATCCCAAAAGAAAATGTTTAATGCTTGATCTGTATATTCTTACCAATAACACAGAATTTCAGTTTACCTACAATCAGAACCTCTGTTGCACAACAGGCATCAGCTTCCTCGTAGTTGTTCTTTATTTATATACAGAGTGTGGAATTTGGGACTGCTTGCTTGAGAGGTGTTAGTTTCCTTCCTGAGTACTGCTAAGGTGAGCCACTGAGCAAGGCACTGAACACCACCTACTCAGGCCGCCAGTCCCTGTGCAGTCCCCTCACTCTGACATCTCTCCATTAATGCAGGTCTAAAGGTCCTGTTTGTGCTTTCCGGCTTCTGTGTGGGTGAAGTGTGTCTCAAAATAACAGGGTGAAAGTTCAATGCCCCATCGGGATGAGAAAAGTACATAATATTAAAAAAAAAAAAAAAAAGGTTTTAAATGAAATTAAATAATGTTACACAATGTGGAAAGTAATTCTGTTGATTGTCTGACACTATCCCCTTGTTGCAACAAAAGCATGCAAACAATTTATTGTTCTATTGATGCTCTTAAAACACCTGTTTTAAGTCAATAGGTTTGGTGGCTTAGATAGGATCACAACTCCCCTTACCCTGGACTGTGTCAATCTATACCCAATGCTTGAGGACCGTCCTAAAAACTCTCAGTTGTAAGCTCATTGATTAGCTATCTCTTCCTCCATCTGGCATTATTATTTCAAAAATAAGATGACGTGGATTGGAATTTAACTTGGATCCTTTTGTTATACTTACTTTTTGTAAGATTGTAGTCTTAGCTATATGCAAGAGGTCCAATACACTAATTATCAGCCTTTTTACAAATAGTGAGCTGTACATAAAGGCCCCACTTTAAAAAAAAAACCCACTGCTGTCATCTATAATCCTTGTTGAGTTGCTTATCAATGGCTGAATTTGGTAGAAGTGAGTAACTACAAATCATCTGATACAACTGCCTTTCACTTACAGACCATTTGAGTTTTAACAAAAAGCTACAGCTAAATATAAAACAGTGAGGTCAAAAGTGGTGCAGGATTTGGCATGAGTCAAAACTATATGGAACCACAGGGACCATTCAATGATACAAAATTTACATTAAGGCATTGACACTGGTTAGCTCACAGTTTTAGCCCCAAGATGTGGCATCTGATATGAGCCTCTTTTCATTTCCTTGGACACACTACTTTCTCTTTGGGTGACCCGACATTGTCATTTTCCCATATGTGGGCACCCCAAAATCAAAACTCCCTGTTACAGGAACAAAAGCAAGTAGGGACTGTGTGGGAGTGAAGGGCGTAAACAGAACAAATGACATAACTCAGGCAGAGAGTCTTGTTTTATAATTTATTACCAAGTCTTTGTGTGTTTGTGTGTCCAAACCATGAGGCCATTGCTCTCTACACTGACCTTGCACTGTTCATTTGTAGTTCATGATTTGATTTGTTCCAAGTGCTCACCCTGAAAAGGAAGCATTTATTTTTAATTACGTTAAACAAGGTACATGACCCCTTTAGGAAACTATTGGTTCTATCACAGTACATTTATCGTTGTGTTAACCCATGCTAATTTAAAGTAATTGCACATAGGATCTGGTTCGTGACTTTTGCTTAATGACTGAAATATCTGGCTGTCTTGCAACATTATGTGCAAGAGAGAAGGCCAGGAAGCAGTGCCAACAGCAACGTTACATTTGTGGAAACTGCACATCTCATTTTGACACAATTGTAGTGATAGATTAAGCAAAGTCAGCTTAAAGTGTTGACTTGACTTTATAAAAGACGATTCTTCTTTTATTATATTATATGACACGTTTAAGGGCGATACATTCATGCATTAAACCCAACATGACATATTTTAAAATAAGGCACTTGCTACTGCTAGTTTGGCTCATCTAAACCTCTGATTTCAACATTGTTCCATGCAAACTCAAAATCCTATTCCATCTACTAGAAATGCTGCTTGCATCTTGTATTTAATGAGATAAAGATTTTTCCAAAAATGTCCTTTTAAAGATCCAATTAAGCCTGAGATGTTTTTCATACAGCAATGCTTAAAAAAAAACCCTGTGGTTTAAAACTATGATATTACATGAAAACAAGCTCTACATCTTGTAGGATGGAACTAAAAATCAAGATTTTCTTCCATTCTATCATGGATCTTTTTGTGTGAAATAGTTACAAAAAGGCATTGAAGTCCTCTAACACTGCAGGGAGAAATTTGATTTGATATAAAATACTCATCTTGAAAAAGGATTTAGATAGTTTTTTTTTTTTTTTTACATTTGTATGCATCACAACGTCTTTAAGAGGTTAATTGTATGCAGTGAAGTCATGTCTGGTTCATTCATTATTAAGCGAATATCTAAATTCAATCACACATTTTATGTATTTGTAGGAGTATTTTTCTATTAAGCATTATTCATTATAGTTGAATGTATTAAAAACTTCATGCACAAATAAGAAGATATGTCGGCACAGAAGGGAAGGAGGAAGTCATGAGTTACAAACAGTTTGAGACATGCTACAATTTATGAGCACACTTTCCAATTGAGGAAGAAAAAAATTGAAAGGACGCAGAGTGAATGATTGAGTGATTGGATGATTGATTGATTTATAGGACTTTCAAACTCTTGCCATCCTCTTATTCTCTTTCCTCTTACTTTGTTCACCTCAGGCGAGGATGATGATGACGAGGAGTGCGGGGAGGAGAAGCTGCCGTCATGTTTTGACTACGTCATGCACTTCCTCACCGTGTTCTGGAAGGTTCTGTTCGCCTTCGTCCCGCCAACAGACTACTGGAACGGCTGGGCCTGCTTCGTAGTCTCCATCTGCATGATCGGACTTCTCACGGCCGTCATCGGTACGGCGACAGCTGATATTGTGACATAATTGCATTTAGGCAAATTTAATAAAGAATGTTGATGTTAGTTGTACAGTTTTTGGGGACATTTGGGGATAAATGGCATGCAGCGTTGGAGTCTAAGACAAATTGTCATACACAGATAATATTATGATGATGATTTTGTTTTCTTATCATTTCAGGGGACCTGGCTTCTCATTTTGGCTGCACAGTGGGCCTGAAAGACTCAGTCACAGCTGTAGTATTTGTTGCATTGGGAACCTCTGTACCAGGTGAGTGTGTGTATTTGTTTACACACCCATTATGTTGTCATTTATGTGTAGAATTTGTCCACTGTTTTATCATTGTTAAATATCCTTTCCTATTTTATTTTAATGCCAGACCTTTCTCTCTTACACATTCAACATTTAGCTTCATAAACCCTGTATGAGCTTAAATAGCCCCAAGGTCTTTCAATTTAGGATTACATTTTTGTTCATCAATTATCCCCTTCAGGGAGTACCTGACATTTTCTCTGCAATTGCTTCAGTTTTTATTACTCAAAGCTTTAGTCCTCCCATGACTTTAACAGAGTGTCCCTGCTGCATTAAAATCTGTTTTATGAAATGCCACATTAAAGTAAAGCTCTTGTATTCAACAAGTACGATGCAATCAACCTAATCAATGGAAGGCGACACAAATTGTTGCAACTGCAGAATTAGTTGTAGAAATATTCAAGTTCACCAAGATTTATATTTGATTAGTGACAGTTCAGTGATGTGATGACAAATTTTGATCAAATTAAATATTCATGACAACGTTTTTTTAAATGCACAATTTGTGTTACATGTGAGGCTTTGAAAAAAGAAAAACTATAGGCTAGCTGTAATCTTTCTCAAATCTAAAAGTTTCATTGCTAAAGATTTGCTAAACAATCAAAATATTGGCCATCTTAAAACTTTCCCTGCTGTGCCACTGAAGGACATTTAACAATGACTGCCCCAGTCTCTCCAGTGTGTCTTTATATGTGCGAGCTGGTTAGAGTGTTATAGTGCAGCCTGCAGACAGCGGCATGGATCATGCTCTAAATGTGAAGAGCCACCGACGACAGCAACGGCTGGCTGAGTATGCTTTAACCTTGGCCTCTGTCTCCTGCTACTGCACACAGACACACACTGAACACACACCAGGACATTCAGCACATGCTTGAAATCTAGATGTATTACATGCAGAAACAATGGCATCTTCAGCAACTGTAATTACTTCGACCGAGAGACCCACATGTATGCACCCTACGGACATATTAAAGCCTGAAATAGGTTTTGCACCTTTGCACATACACAAATACAGCCACACACACATGCACACACACACCTATATTGTGACCACCATGTTCTATTAGCATAGGGCAATCTGTCATGTCTGGCTCAGGTGGTCTCTGTCCGCCCATTTAGGGAGCTCAAGGGTGAAAGTGATTTATGACATACGACTTACACACATGCACACAAATATACACCGCACATACACACACACATTACACATTACACATTACACATTGCTTTTACAAGAAATGCACAGATACATATAATGCAGAGAGCTACCAGAATGGAAACTACGTGCCTCTGTCTTTCTTTAAGGCTCCCAGCCTTATTACCAAACACACACTGTGCTTTGGTAGCATGCTGATTAACCCCGTTTATCACAGTTACCAAGGCTAACACACATACGCACTCACAAACAGCCCCCCCCCACTACTACACCCCGGCACACACAAACATACAGTAGAGGAAAGGGAAAAAACATTAACAGCTGTGCTCTTAAAAGAGAATAATAAAGTGGAGGAAAAAATGGTGGTTGGTTTAGATGGTTTAGGATTCAGGCAAATCCTCTAAGCCTCATCGATTTACAAGATATAAAATACGTTGACGAAAAGTGCAAAATCTGCTGGATTGACAGTCGCATATTAAACATTTAGTTCTAAAAATAAATTAAAAATAGACTTTACTAGAGATCAACAAAGAATTCGAGACATTTTATGAGTAGACATCCTGTCAAGGTTGAGAACAATTTCTGAACCAGGGAAAAAATTATCATTAATTAAATGAAAATGAATAATATTTTTATGTACCATCATTACATATGTTGGAGCAAACGCACATAAAACAGGAAAGATAAGATGGCAATGTTTAAAACTTGTTTTCTGATTCTGGTATACAGCATTCACATATTGATCCAACTACCTTTGATAAAAAAGAAAAAAAATTGATTGGCTTTTTTGTCTTCACTTACTCACAAACAAACCTAATCAGGCTGCATTTACACTTCTTTTGAATATATTCACAGTCACATTCAAAAGAAGATTATTTGTAAAAATGTTTGTACCCCTTCAGCTTTTGTCTGGCTACAATATCTACACAAATTTTCCACTGTGCAACAATTTAAAATGTGAAGATCTCGCCAAGAGCTAAGTTGCAGATCTCATTCAACTTTCCTGTGTGTATTCATACCCCAAGAAGATGATTCCTAAAGGTTTCTTTTTTATCTTTGCTGTATCCCCACCACCAGGCAAAAATGTACACATGCAGAAAGAGTGACAGATTGCCTTGAGCACATAAATGCCCTCAAGTGAGTTCTTCCATTTTAAGAGGCAAGAGGGAACAGAAGAGAGAGGAAGAGGAGGCAGACGGAGCGAGAGAGAGGGAGAGAGAGAGAGAGAGAGAGACGGGTTGATTGACAGACAGGCAGACGAAAAGGGCAGATATCTCTCCAGGGATGAATACTCTCAGAGGGAGCTGCAGAGTGGAACCTGTTTCACACACATGCACACACACATGCCAAGGCCTAACATTCAGGCACCCACGCACTCACCCACTCAATCAGGCGCACGAGCTCTGAAAGAGCAATTGATGAACAACACACACATGCACAGGCCTCTACCAGCTGGTGGAGGCATGGCATTAGATTGGAACCGGGTGGTACTAACACACATAGACTGTGTACATGCATGAGACTTACAGAAACACACACTAAGGCAAAGAAGCAGAGAGGCATGCAAAAATAGCCTCAATACACACACACACACACACACACACACACACAAACAGGCACACTCTCAGCAGGCTTGTCCTTGAAGCTGAAAGGTGTACGAGGAGATTTATCTTTGCGCGACTCTTCTTTGGCCCATTGCCTCTCTTCTCCGTAACCCTTGTCTGCCACACCCATCATCATCTTTTCCAGCACCAGTTTGGCTGCCAATTTAAGAAAACCTTCTCCACTCATGTTCTCTATTTCTTCTTCACACCCTTGCTTTTTCTCTTTCAATTTTTATTGTTGTTTTCTGACGATATCTGGCAGAGAAAAGAAAAATAACATGAATAACTAACAAAGGGAAGATGGCAAGGAAATTATGGAGAGAAAAGAGTGCTTACTGACCACTTGGCTGTTTGCTCAGTCATTGTGCTCTCAGCGAAGGGCCTATTGTCGAGATTTGGCAAGGTCTCAACACTTTCAGTACCGCTAGGAGGACCATGCCTGTGGAGCTGCTGTAGCTTGGCAGGCACGAAACCAGGGGAACATTTGGGGACTAAGCAGCGTCATGCTGATTAGTTGTCAGGCCAAGATTTGTTTGCCCCTGCAAACTGAGACTCAGCCTTGTAAATTATTGATCTTGGACCAAATCTGGTCTGTGCTGGCTGCCAGCGACAGACAGTGTAACAGGATTAAAGATTTGGTTTCTAATTTAAGGTTCCCTGTTTAAATGTGGAAAACGGGATTTACACAGTGTTCTGTATTCATAATTATAAGTGTTCTGCATTTATCAAGAAGGTCCTTTTGGGTAACCTTGTTCTCGTGCAACTCACAAATGACTGTGTTCAACTCCAGGTGTGAATTTGTTTATACCAAATATTCAGAATATTCAGCCTATTATACTTATTTCACAATGTACTGTATAGCACATTTAGTATTATGAAGGACATACCAAAGTTACTTTGCCAAGGCAACATCTGTTTTAACCATTCTATTTATTTGGCAAAAGTGTTGTGGTTCAATAACAGATCTGGTTGTTGTGAAAGGGTAGGGGTCATATCCACAATCAGATTATTTAATCTTGTCTAAACTCTGGGAGTAATTCTATAAACAAGATTTAGACAAGACCCAAAGTTTATTTCTTAATCCATTTTGTATTTACTGCTCTCTGGAATGATCACTCATAATTTCCTGCTGTCATTGTCAAGGGTTTTCAAACGAGATAACAGCTGTTTTCATCGGATAACCACATCTTTCCAATATCACTTCAACGCACTCTCATTGTTCGCCTGTCATCTTACAAAATACACACAGTCACAAATAAGACCTATGGACTTGCATTAATGGAGAGATGTCAGATTGAGGGGTCTGCACACCGGTTGCGCCCAAAGCAGTTTGGGTTCTATATGTTTTGCTCCAAAGGAATTTTGCCAGTACTCAGGAAGTGAACTGGCATCTCTCAAGCAACCAGACCAATTTCGATACTTTGGGCTCTACCGGGACATTATACAGAGACCCTTTAGTTTCCAAGCCAAAGTCCCCACAGAGCTCACTTGAGTCACTAAATCTATTACACACTAGAGGCATTACTGCTCACACCACATAGTTTGACTTTTGTTTTAAAGTTATTCCAGCATAATTAGCCAATCACACAATTTCATTCATGACTTTCTGACTATTATATTCCTCAAAGAGAACCATGTAAATTGGAGAAATTATCATGTAAATTTTGCTGAAGGACCAAAGGTTTTTGTTCCTGTTTTACAGATTTCAGTCAGAAGCAAGTAATGAAGGAAAATTTAAAGCAAGCCTTGATTTAATCAATCTGTCTCCTTGTCTTTCTTTGCACAGATACCTTTGCCAGTAAGGTAGCTGCTATCCAGGATCAGTATGCAGATGCATCCATTGGTAATGTGACGGGGTCCAATGCTGTCAATGTTTTCTTGGGCATTGGGGTAAGTACTAATTTAAGGATTAATGGATTAATTCAAGCTGGTTTTCATTATTGTGTTTGTCGTACTCCCATACTATAAACTTATTGTTATAAACATTTGCTTCTGTCCTGGGTTTTTTTTAAAATTCTGCTGATGTTTGACAGGTGGCGTGGTCCATTGCTGCCATCTACCACAACAGCAGAGGGGAAGACTTCAAGGTGGATCCAGGCACGCTGGCCTTCTCCGTCACGCTCTTCACAATCTTTGCCTTCATCTGTGTTGCCGTACTGATGTACCGAAGGCGGCCAGAGATTGGTGGAGAGCTGGGCGGGCCCAGGACTTCGAAGGTCCTGACCTCCATGCTGTTCTTCAGTCTGTGGCTCCTCTACATTCTCTTCTCCTCACTGGAGGCCTACTGCCACATCCAAGGCTTCTAAGATAACAGCAGATGATGAAGATAAGGGTAGGACGGAAGGATAAAATGGAGGGAGAAACTATAAGGGGAGGTGGATAAATGGATGGATTTTGAAATGAAGGCTCAACGATCATCATTCCCTATCTTTACGCAATAGACTGAGTGAAGGTTGATTGGATGGATGTACAGATGAGGGAATGCATTGAAGCATCTAAAACCGGAATGGAAGGAAGGACAGATGCATGGAGGTAGAGATCGTAGGAGCTAGAAAGCTCAGAAGGAAGCTCTGAAAGAAATAATTAACTAAGGAATACATTTTTTTTGGTCTCGATATATAAATTTAAAACAATCAAGTTGTCTTAAACCCATCCCTGTTTTAAGCCCAATAAAACACATCCTCAACTTTGTTCCAGCTGGTTCAACTATACAAAAAACAAAATTTAGTTTTATGAAGACAGCAAGCGAAAGGTTAAAGTGACAGACGCACCACCACAACTCCTCGGAAACATAGCATCAAAAACAAACTATCTCATTAAATCCCATCCACATGGGGTAGTGCTGCTCATTCTTCATTCTACAGTTACAGGCACCAATGAGATGGAAAAAGAACAGCTAATATCTGTATCAGTATGTAAATGCATGGCCTGACTATACTGAAAACACAATCAAAAGAAACTGGATGTATTGCAACAACTGTTTAATGACAACAAACTGTGTGCGTGTTGGTGTGTGAGTGTGTTTCTGTGCTCGTGCGTTGTTGGAAGATGGTCAAGTACTGTGAAAAAAAACCCGACTGATTATGCTGTCGCTATGTGAGACAGAATATGCTTTCGTATTCCAGGTCTTTTTGATTCTTACCCTCCAGGTCTGTAGAAAAGCCGTGTCAGACTATTTTATGTGAGGGCAAGTTCAATGAAGCAAAATGCTTTGAAGGTTAGAAATGTAAATACAACGAGCTGAAGGTAAATAACAGCTCCAATATGGTTCTTCTGAATGTCTTGGTCATGCCATACGCTCCTGAACGGGCCCTCTCTCTCTTTGTTGCTTTATACTGTAGATATAAATGATTTAAGGTCTGATTTGAATCAAGAAGGGGTTAGTGTGCTTTTACCTTTAATAGGCCATGTCTGAAAAGACAAAACGGCCACTCTACCGTTTAAAACTGTTAGAGAAATAATAACCATTGCATTAATACTAAGGTTAATTGTGCTTGTTCATTTTTGTTCATTTTTTAAACTGTGGAATTCAAATCACTGATTTTCCATCAAGGGATTGTCACCTTCATGCGACAATTGTGACATTGCAATAGACTTTGAAAAAATTAGGTACCGCCCTCTGTGAAACCTCATAGGATGTCTGTTTTATAACTTCATCTGTCATTGTTTATCTCATATTAATGCCCAATGGTTCACTCAACAGCTCCAGACATTATCTCTGTGTGTCTTAAGCACCTGGCTGGTCAGTGGACCAATCCAAAATATTCAAGGGCTTTCTATGAAACAACCACTAATCCCTAACCACCCAATTTATAATTCTTCAGATAGATTGGTCTTCAGGGAGATCTATACAGGGATTGTTATTACTTCACATAAGACACCATCTGCTCAGTTGAAAGGACATTACTTACAGTAACACAGCTACATTAATTGGAAGACATTGTCACCCAGAGTGTCAAGGGACATCTTAATATTGGAGAAGGTTACATAAAGATTTTTAACCCTTTTTTTGGAATCTGCAGTTGGTTATGAGGACTACCAATACATTAGCCTTATTCCAAACCAAACCATCAAAGCAATGTTCTTCTGCTTCAACTCATAATAATATTGCTGATTTCTTCTACCCTTCAGGCATATGGCTCATTAATGCTTTAACCCAAATTATGTGGTATTGTTTATTCATTTAAGGTCAGGTGTTTGCTCAACCAGAAGTATTCTGTAACACACTTTATTCAAGCTTTACCCCTGCCTTCGAAATGAACCATTGACTTTTCCATTCAGCAGCTAGTTTTCAGTCTTAATATTGGAGCCATCAGATGAAGATATAGTCCAAAAGTATTTGCTGCTGGTGAAGAAGTAGTCTCACAAACAGATACAATTTATGATAGATAACCCCTGATAGGCACATTGAATATCTATAACCAAGTTGATAAACTGTTAGTAAAACAACCCCCAGAAATTGCCCCATTGGGACCTGTATCATAAAGTGAGTTGTCAGGTTCTGTTTGGATTACATTGTTCTGGATCTAGTATAGCCAGTCGCAGATAA